ATCAACACTCAATATATCAAATTATTCATCCAATTGACTTTAAATTAACATTCTAATTCTTCCAATTAGCATCCAGTTCATCAAATAAATATTCAATTTTATCTAATTAACATTCAATATATCAAATTTATAATAAATTAACATTCCTTTTCATCTAATTAACATTCAATTTATTAAATTAAAATCAAATTGACATTCACATTGAAGGTAAATTTGATAAAATTGGTCAATTTGGTGTTAATTTGGTGAATTGGATCTCAATTGGATGAAATTAAATGTTATTTTGGTCAATTTTTTGCTAAATTGGTCAATTTGGTGTTAATTTGGTGAAATTAAATTTTACTAAATAAAATTGAAGGTGAATTTGGTCTTAATTTGATGTAAAAGATCTTAATAGAATGAATTTTTCATGAATCTTTTTTTCTGGGTCAATTTGATTCATCAAATGTTAAATTCATGAATTTTAATTTTAATTTGATAAAATTAACGATCAATTTAGTATTAATTTGATGAAATTAGATTTTAATAAATCAAATTGATGGTGAATTCAGTGTTAATTTCATGAAATTAAATTTTGAATTGATGAAATGGAATGTTAATTTAGTGTTTTTTTGATGGATTGGATCTCAATTGGATGAAATTGAATATTAAATTCAAGAAATTTAATTTTAATGTGATAAAATTAACAATCAATTTTGCGTTAATTCGATAAAATTAAATTTTAATAAATCAAATTGACGATGAATTTAGTGTTAATTTGATGAAATTAAATTTTGAATTGATAAAATTGAATGTTAATTTGGTGTTTCTTTTATGAATTGAATCTCGGTTAGATGAAGTTGAATATTAAATTAATGAATGTCAATGTTAATTTGATATGGGCATTAATTTGGCCAAATTAAATTTTAATAAATAAAATTGAAGGTGTATTTTATTTTAACTTGATGAAATTGAATTTTGAATTGATGAAATCAAATGTTAATATAGTGTTGACTTAATAGATTAGATCTTAATTGAAAAAAGTGAATGTTAAAATGATGTTAACTGTTATGTTAATTAGATAAAATTGGCTATCAGTATGGTGTTAATTTTATGAAACTAGAAATAAATTAAATTGAAGATGAATTTGGTTTTAATTTAATTCTAATTTGATGATATCAAATGTTAATTTGGTGTTTATTTGGATGAAATTAAATGTTAAATTCATGAATTTTTATGTTAATTTGATAAAATTGATGGTCAATTGTAAGACCCCATATTAAAATTTTAAATAAGTATAATATTATCTTAAGAGTTCTCCTAAGATGAATAAAATAATGATAGAAACTTAGAATCATAGTTGAAAGATTGATTATAAAATTTGAGTTTTGCGCGTATTTACGTTGAAATAAATTGAGTTTTGGAGATGTTTGGATTGAAAAGTGTGGCTAAGTAAATTTGTAAATATTTTTAGGTCAAAATAAAGTTTTCATTGAATTCAAAAAGTCGAAAAACCTTGGGAGAGGTAATATGGGGTATATTAGAAGTTATGAAGATTTTTTGAGTTAAAACCTATTTTGGAGAGGATTTGGGTATAAAAGAATTTGATACTACCTTAGTATTTTGGTTATAAATTTTTACTTTAATATCCAATGGAGTTGATGTTTGGGGAGAAGAAGCTAGACGTCAAAGGGTGCAAAAGTGTATTTCACGAAAATATTATGAATCGACTTCTAAATAAGTCAAAATTGATCTAAAAGTGGGGGTATACTGTCAGACACGTCCAGACGAGGAGAAACAAACATCCGGATGCACCGGGCAGAAGTTAGACGATCTTTGTTGGGAGTTTTTTTCACTTTTGGCATTATAATAACTAAGGAACGACCCTTAGGCCAATGTTTCGCAATTATTCATCCAAGAAAACCCTAAAAAGCTTCAGAGGAAGAAAGAGAGGAGACATGGGGAGGATTCTCGCTTCGGTATTGATTCAAACATGCTACGGTATCTTCAAACATCAAATTAAAGGTAAATATATATATATACACACACACTAGGGATAACCCGTGCTTGAAGGCACGACGCAACTAAAAAATATTGAACATTGAATTTAAACGCGAAATAATCAAACACTGAACTTGAACACGTACTAAATTGAAAACATAAACTCGCCCTATATCACGTGTCTGAAAGCACTGTACATAGTTCTTAAACAAAAAAAATCAAACAATGAATATAAATATGCATTAAGCTTAAAATTGTTTGGTCATTTTTAATGTCATGACTTTAGTGAAATAAAAAAGGTCAAAAGTTGTCATCAATCAATACATTGACCACCTAAATTAAAAAAAAACATTACATTAAATAGGGAACACTTCAAATTACACAACTAACCAAATAGGAAAAGGAAAAAAAGGAACTAAAAGTCATTTACGTGATCTTTCCAAAACCATCACCACCTAGCACCACTGCAACAAATGCCCAGAAGATCACAACAAAATTCAACACATTAAATTAAAACCAAAGCAAAAAATTAGAATGTTTAAAAGAAAAAACACAATAGCAACAGATTAATTACTCAATTTCAACTAACACTTCAATTCACAAACATACATCAAATCAAGACCTTATTAAAACCTATTTCACACTAATTAATACACAATCTCTAAAATTATGGAAGTAAAATAAATTAACACACATCTTAATC